CAAAATAAAAATAAATTATGAGTGACATTATTTAAAATATTTGAAAATCTCTTGACTGTCTGGCTTAGTAGAAGATAGCTGGATTCTCGTCTCTGCTTCTGCCTTCAATCTATGGTAATATTACCTGTCATGTGGCCTCTAGAAAACTCCACAGTATACTCAAGAGAATGGGATTTTCATTAAAATAGTTGTGATCTGTGGACCCCCTGAAAGGGCTTGGAGAACCCCAGGAGTCCCTGGACTATAATTTGAGAACCTCTGTTCTAAATGTTTACACTTTTAAAATAATAAAGCTATTCAATTCATAACAGTTTCTTCTTTGCCTAGAATATCAGAACCTTCAGGGCGAAGGTCATCCATCAGCTCAGGTGGGGAATGACAGCCTGTCCATCACCTGTCACGCTGCTCAGCTGCTGCCTGATTGCTACTGGGCTTTTCCTTCCTTTTTAGTGTTAATGGTTTTTGGCCGTACTTCTTCTGCGTTTTCATTAGAAGATGCTGCCAGTCCTTTCTGGAAAGAGGTTAAGTGTTTAAAAGTATAGGAATATCTGTCTATCCATCTATCTATCTATCTACACACACATAAAAAGCAACACATACAAGTTTGAAAGTACACTTTCATTTCATTTTCAGTATCTATCTAGCTAACGCACCTCAACAGGATGAAAATATATAATATAGTCACTTGAAAGGTTAAGAAAATCCTCAGGTTGTCTGAATGGGCCTTCTTCACAGAGCCCAGAGAATGGGGTTCAAGTGCAGGGCCTGCTCTCTAAACAGCTACAGCTCCATGACAGGCAATTTATCACTCAAGAAATGAGGCAAATCATCAAGGTCTCAGAGTGTCTGAACTGTTCCTCAGAACTCCCACCCGGACCATCCACTTTTTCTCTGTCAATAACTAATTTGACTGAAGCCTATGAGAGTCGCACTTTTTCAGTGCCAGCCCACTGCATGTCATTTTTCTGTCTGGGAGAACTGCCCTTCAGTCATCCAGGCGGGTGAGCGCCCCGCCTTGCCTGTCTCAGGGCACCCTGTTTGGGGCCACCCTTGACCGGATCAGGTTGTGCACCTGACCCAGGCTGAGCCAACCGCATTCTCTCTCGTGGGAATGTGGCCTCGGATTGAGCACAGCCAGCTACCCGGGACCGACCTCTTCAGTAGGGAGGGTGTAAACCCGGCAGTTGTGAGGGATCCTCTTCCACTCAGCTGCCCAGAGAGAAGAAGGAAGGAGAGTTGATTGCAGAGAGACGTGGAGCAGAGGCGAAGGCTGGAGAAGGCCTGCTTCCTGGCTTCCTCGTAGCCATCTGTCCTTGGGCTTCATGAGATACTGCCTCACCACATATTTCCCTTAATAATTAAGCCAGCTCAAGTTGATTCCTTGCAACCAAAAGCTCTCAACTAAAGCAAAGGCAAAGCCAGAAGCATTGGTGAGTTTTTCGCTACAGCCGGGTCCTGTAAAAGATCCTGGAGAGGATTGATTGTAGGTCCTAAATACGCATCATCGACTCACTGAAGGCTTCCATCCGGCCAAAACACGTTTCCATCCAAGGCCAACTAGATTAGGAAATGGCGTTTCCTCCTGCTTTCCATCCCTGGAGGGCAAATGTACAGATGACTGGAGTTAGCAATTGACTCTGTGGGTTAGTATTTGCTGAGGGCACACGCCCAGGGACTTGAATGACAGCAATCCCCAGGTGCCAGGGAGGAGGCTGGCAATTACGCTTCCCATCACTGGCCTATTCACCACTCCTGCAAACCAGCATTCCTCAGAGCACTGACCCTCAATGACTGGCAGGGCGACCGACTTTTAAAAGTGCCCATTTTTAGCAGCTGGAAATAATAAACAGAGGGAAGTGAAGATGCTGGAGGACTGATTTCTCTTCCACTGTTTTCAAAAGTCAAAAGATGCTATAGACTAGTGGACTGGCAAGGATGCCACGGAAAGCTGGTGCAACTCCTGCCGCAGAGCAGCTGTGTGATGATGGGTTAGTCCATACACCTCCCTGGGCCTCAGTTTTTACAGCTGCAGAATGACGAGGTAGAACTAGAAGGTCTTTAATATCCTTTTCATCTCCAACTTTCTACAATCTTTGTGAGCTGGAAAGATTTACATAGAACTTCATCTTGATTTTATTACTTGTAGTTCATCTTCTTGTGACAGAGCCGGCGGCAGCCTGTGCGTGCGGAAGTAAGTGGCTCTCCCTCTGGGATGATTTAAGAGGTGCTGAAAGCCGCGAGTCCCTCCCTCACTGTGCTGCCAGGGCGAGGGCCTGGAGCTCCCCTGCCCCAGAGCCAGACCTGGGATCCCAGCCTTGTTTATAGATGGTCTCAGTCAAAAGGCAAACACCTACCTTGCCCATTGTATCTCATAGGGCGTATCAGCCCAGACTTGCCTCTGGATTCCCTGGGAATGAGACTAGGAATGGTATCCAGCAGCGGCACATTTGCCAGGCAAGGTCTGGGGCGCCGGGCATTGCAGTGGCAGCCAGGCCTGGGCAGTCGAGCACGCAGAGGAGTGCAAGGGTAGCAAAGAGCTCCAAGGGCCAGAAGAGGAACCAGATCTGAGTCACCTGCACTTGCTTAGGGCCCAGGTGGGCTGTGGGCTTCAAGCGCCGCACAAGGCTTTGCTTCATTTTGACTCACCTGATTCTCTTCTCCTCGTTAGAGGGCCCTGCAGGGAGGAGGAGATCCTCTGAGCACCCTCCAGGGCTCCCGCCTCAATACAAGGAAAGCCTGAAGTCAGACCCCTGTAGGAGGCAGCATTCCTTAGAGGCGGCCTTGGCCTCAGCTTCTACCACCTAGGCTGTCATGACAAAAACACTAGAGAGAGTTGGGCCCCCTGGAGAAAATGGCCCAATTCTCTTGTGGAGCAGCTGCCTGGCACCACTGAGGCCCCTTCCATTGAGGGATTCACGGCTATTCCCACAGCGGGCCCGCGGAACTGTTTTCCTCCTCGGGAGCCACAGGCCTACTCCCGTACCCACCCACCCTAAGAAACAAGGCTTGGGCGTCAGGTTGTAGTAAGCCCCCTTTTGGCGGCTTCAGTTCTTAACCTATAAAAATGGAGAAAGGATAACCAGGAGGATAACTTCCTAGCGCTCCTGTGGGAGATTTATTTATCAATATGGTAGCTGTACAAGGTTTGGAAATAAATGAACCATCAGATAGCACCCTGAGGTATTATTACACAACACAGCATCTTAAACACCAATTCCCTCCACTCTATCGGAACATGTGTAGAAGATTCTATTTGAGAACCAGCATTCCCGCTGACTTTCTTAGAGGGCTGGGCTTGTCAAATCTTTCTCTCATTTTTGGGCGAGGATTAGGGCGTGTTCTGGTGATTTATGAGTATGTAGATACAAAGTAGTAGTAAAAATAGCAACTGAGGCAAAAAACTTCCTTTGTGGTATCTCGAAACCCTCTGACAAGAGGTTTTCTCAGGGTGTTCACCATAGTCCCACAGAGGTTTCTGGGTGTGTCGCAAGGGTCCCATTAAACTTTCAAGTTTAACCTGCCACGTTGGTCTCCCTCTCCTCGTTATTGTATATTTCCTGTGTAGAAGAATGGGAATTCGGGGGATTTTTAAAAATCCTATTGGATAGTCCAGTAATTTTGCACAAGGATACCAGCCTAGGGCCCAGGGAATTTCCTAATGAGCCACAAGGAGACTTGGGTTAACTAGAGACAATAGCTCTGTAGGAGTTCTGGAGAGGGCCCTGGAGTTCAGATTCCTGCTAATGAAAGGCCTCAGTCACAGCCTAGGGGTGAAGATGCAGTGACTATGTCCATTGTGAAATACAAGTTTGGGAGAGCTCGGAGCACATAGCCACCTGCAAATCTGCCTGTCCTCCAAACCAGGTGTCAGTTCAATCTATGCTCAAGCTAAACCACTTGTCTTACGCCAGCAAATACTGTCATATTCTAACACAGGTTGTGGAGTCAGACAGATGAAGGATGGAATCCTGGGTCTGCCCCTAAGAGCTGTGCGAGCACGGCCAAGGCACTTTGCCCATCCATGCCTCGGTGTCCACATGTGTAAAATGGGACTAAGACCCACGCGATTGTTGAAAGAATTAAACGCAACAAATTTGACAAACTTCTTAGCACAATGCCTGACATGTTAGCTGTTATTTTTTGCATCCTATATTTTGTGTGCCTGCTCTTTGCCGGGCCTGTCGCCTGGGAGAGCAGACACTGTGCTCTCTGCACAGGGCCCACAGTCACACCCGATCTAAACGCCCTGGATGTGGCAAGATCTACTGAGTTTGAAGACGGGAAAGGGAGAAATAAGACTACGTGGCCATCGTTTCTGGCAGCAGAAATACTACACTTTCCTTCCCTGGGACTCTGCCATCATCTCCGCACCTCCTTCCCCCTGCGCTGGTACCCCAATAAGACAGTGGGCTCTAGAGGCCTTGCGTCCTCCAGGGCACCGGCGCCAACTGGGCCCTCTCCCTCTCAGTCCCTCTCTGCGCCCTCGCTTTCCTCTCTAAAGCAAACAGGATCGCCACCCTTTGATCTGTGCTGAGCTGCGAGAGCAGCCTCGTCGTGCAACCGCGAAGGCGCCGCCGGCGGGGAGTGCAAGCCGGCCGCCCGGGGCGGAGGGTGCCCACCAGGGGGCTGCCAGCAAACTTTCCTCGGCCAAATTCTTGACCGCGAGCCTTGGAACCGCATTCTGCCCAAATCTGTCACGCCGAAACCACGGAGCCGCCCGCCACCCGGGGGGGCCGGGGGAGGGGAAGGGGGGAGCAGTGGGAGGAGGTAGGGAAAGGAGAAGGTGGGAGGTGGGGGAGGAGAAAAGTGGGGGAAGTTGGAGAAGGGGAGGTAGCAGGAGGGGGGGTGGGGAAAGGAGGAAGTGGGAGTAGGGGAGAGGAGGGGAGAAGGAGGTGGGAGGGGGGAGAGGAGGAGGAAGGAGGAGGTGGGAGACGGCGAGGAGGGGTGAAGAAGGGAGGGGGAGGGGCGGAGGGAGGAAGTGGGGGAGGGCGCACGAGGAGGGGGAGGACCCGCTGCTGGCTGCGCGCACTGGTCTGCGGCCGCGAAGACGCTTTGGAAAATATGGGCGTGACTAGCAAGTTCTTTAGTTTCTCTAAAGCCCAGGAGCCGGCAGGCGGGTCAGCTTAGCACCGCGGAGCCTTCCTGAAACAGCCAAAAATAAAACCCCAACAAACTCAACGCCCCCCGCCCCGCCCCCTCGGCGTTGGCCCGCGGGCCGCTCGGGGCGGGGGCGCGGCTCCGGGCGCTCGGCTCCAGGCAGACTTCCGGGACACAGGCGGCTTTTCTTCTCCAAAATCCACAGACTCCCTTGGTGCGCTTTGTTTTACAGTGGAAAGCTACAATAAAAAAACCTAGCCGTGAACATAAGTGCGATTAGAAGCTGCCGGCTTCACTTCCTGGAAGCTTTTTGTTGGGTGTTGAAACTGGGAAGCTTTGCGGGTCATCCTTGTAAGTGCCTTTTTAATCCGTTCACACTGATGCTCGTGCGTCTATACTGCGTTTAACGTCGTTAGACTGGTGACGTTGTGACATTGTATTAACTTGATTTAATGATGATGTCTGCTTTGGTAGCTTTACGTTGCCTTACTTGAGAACATGAAATAAATGCATACACGTTGCGAAAATAAAGGCACAGAGGGAGAGGTGTCTTTTTAACCCCGTCATAAAATCGATAGGAAAATATCCCGTACAGCGATGCCAGTACTGAGAGTGGAGGATTATTTAAGCCATGGAAATGTTAAAACAACAACTTATTGGCTGGTTCATAGTCATTCTACATAAATTAACATTATAAAATCATGAAATAATAGCAGGGGCGAAAGCACTATTAGTTGTTCTAAACTTCCTGTGTTAGAAGGCATTATCATTGTATCGTGTAAGTCAGTCACACGTCATCAGGTTTCTGTGTGTGAGAGAATTTCTGCTCTGAGGCAAAGCAGCTTTAACGCTTCAGTACCGAGAAGTTCCACTTAAAATCTCCAAATGCAATTAGTGTAAAGCAGATGCAGTGTGGGGTGCTTACTAAAATTGAAAGTTCTTCCCCCAGGGAATGTACCGCTTTTCCTTTAAAAATGAGCTGAAAGGCCAGGGAATCATAAGTTTAAAATTGGCCGATGCCACCTGAAGATCGCTCAGAAAACCAGAATGAGGCGTCCATTCGTACAATGGGCAGGCAGTAGAAAGACCCAATTCAATTCAGGAATCTTTGGCCTCCAGGCCACATTCTGATACACCTGTCAGAAGACCATGTGATGCATCTTTTGTCAAACTAAACAAGCACTAGTGAGAGTCAGGAGATCCCTTCATGGGAGCAGGATGCCTGAACACATGTCTTTGATCTAAACCATTTTCACTAGACAATATCCCAGTTTCTCTGTTTACCTTCACTGCCTCATGTGTGTACGCCAAACCAGAGTTTGCAGACTGGAGCTCCATTGGCCTGTCCTAGTTTTCCAGACCTGTTTGGCCTTCAAGGTGTGCTTTAAGCTTTGAGTTAGTTATCTGTTTAAAAATCAGGATCTTTCACGTGGAAAGCTGGACTTTGCCTCCTCTTTGAAGTATGAGAATACCTGGCCCCGTGGGCAGGACTGTTGACGGGAGCAGAGCAACAGTGCTAAATGTGACAGTCAGCACCTCCCCTGTCATCCTCCTCTCCCCACCCTGCCTTCGCTCTTAAGGTGCTTGTCTGCCCTGTGCATCTGAGTTTTCCAGTTCTGCCCCAGACAAACTGCTTCACCCACTGCCCGGCCTTTTTCTTAGGATTATTAAAGTCATAGATGATTTAGACACTAGGCCTAGGCTTAATGCATGTAAAATTAAAACGTCAAATCTTGATTTCCAGAAAGTCATCTTGATTGCACTGATCAGAAACTGACTCTCTACATTTCCTGAAGACAGGTGCTACAGAATGTCCCGGCTCCCTCTATTCTGCACTTCTGTATATGCAGCAAGACATCGGGGCGGGGGGGACATGGTCTTTCGAGTTAAACAAACCTGCTTTGGATTCCTGCTGGTTACTTGCTGTGCAATGTTAGGAGACTTATCTACTGTCCTTGAGCTTGTTTCCTTAAAAACAGATATAATAAAACTACCTCCTGGGTCACTGAATCACATGTGAAAGCATCTTGAACAGTACCTAGTCCCCAGTAACCACCTAAAATATTAGTTTCCCTTGCCCTTGGGATTTCAGTTACTAGTGTGGGTACTTGAGAGCATTCTTATTAGATCTTTTTACTTGTCTAAAAATCCTACTTTAGTAGAATCCAGACTTTGGTATGCAGGAGACTTACCTGGATTCTTGCTTAAAATGCTAGTTTCTGGGCCCCTCACCCAGGATTTTGATTCAGGAAGTCCAAAATGGGGCCCTGGGGTTTGACATTTTAGCGTTTAATTCTGGGGCACGAGTTCTCAGACCTCCCCCTGACAGTCCCTGTTCTGGACTGGCCGTGGCCATTCAAGTGAATGAGGCAGAGAAGGAGGAAGGAAGCCTGGGCGATTCCCCGGCTGGTCCTGGCCAGGATGCAGATCCTGTAGCTAGACCGGATGCTGTCTCTGGTTCCCTCGTGCCTGCTCATCAATTCACAGACATTTATGGAGCGCCTCCTAGAAGTGCACTGAGCCTGCACTAGGCATGCAAAGGTAGATGAAGTGCTTCCTGTCCTCGGAGCTCAGGGAACTGAATACCAAGCCCAGGGCCTGGCGTTCAGGCTCCAGTTTCTGCCTTTCCTCCCACCCATCGTTTAATACCATCCCAAGTGCCTACTGTCTTCTTCCCAGAGGCTCCGTGTTACCCTCATCAGCCCTCCTCCCGCCCCGCGCTGTGTGTTCTGTCATCCTGCAGTCTCCTATGACGGTTGCTTCTGCCTTGCACGTGCACGCTTAGCATAGCACGGTACCCGCTAGATATTTGTGGGACTTAATTTCCTCCGACAAATCTGTCTTCTGAAACTTAGTTTATGTTCATTCACTCATCAAATATTTATGAGCCAGGAACTGTTCCAGACGCTGGAGAGATGGCCGTGAACAAAATTAAAATCCCTGCCCACGTGGAACTTCTATTCCAGTTGGGGAAGCGAGGCCATGTCAACAACCTGTTTTGAATTCTTGTGTATTGGATTGTTATCTGTACCGTGACATTTGCTGGAATCTTGTTGCCCTGACTCCTGCCGCAGCTCCCTGCCAGGTGGCCGTCATTCCCAACCCTGTGTAAGGGCCCCACAGCCCTTAGGCGGCCGAGATTCTGTCAGTGGTGGGAGAGCTCTCTGGTTATCCTATTGCATTTTGAATCAAAGCGTCTCCCGCTCTTCCAGACTTTAACCCAGATCTACCATTCATTGTCAAATTCCAGAAGCTTCCACGATAGGCTAACTTTTAAAAATGCAACTTGTGCATTCTCTCCTGGCAGAATGTTAGACGGAAGGCTTGATAGAAGCCAGGTGACTCTGCCGTCCCATTTGTTTTCTTCTGTTAGAATATTGCTTTCCTTTCCAAGCTTCTTAGTTATTATGCCAAATATAAAAATAACTGACTACTTTGCATTCAGTTTCCATAACTTATTCTAAGTAGTACTTTTAATAATTTATTAGTAAAAGATAATCTTGCCTTTAAATATGTCATTTTGGGGGGTACATTTTGCTGCATTCTTGTTGAGCTCTCTGTATTTTTCTGGGTCTAATGCTTGTTCTAGAGAAATACAAGTTCAATTTTATCATAAAAATTTCAGTATTCCGAATATTCCACAAAGTGAGTTACCTCTGAAAATTCAGGTACAGAAGTATGATTTTACTTTCTTCTTTAAAGAGGCAGCTTTTTGTGATAATGCCCCCAAATGTATTATTTCTGTCTCTTTGCATGGGTATATTTCTATATCTGACATCTATCTGTTATTATCTTTGGCTCTCAGTCGCGTACATTTTATCATTTCCCAAGTCTATATGACTTCCTGTTAAGAAACATGAACTGGGTTAATGGAAATTCTTTGAGAAACAAAATCAAGCACCACGGATTCACTTTGTGCTGTGAAATGCAGGACAAGCGATTTGATTTGGACGAGGTTATCAGTCTTTAGTTAGGCACCTGGTGAATACATAGGTAGAATTAAAACGTGTTGGACCGTGGATGGTCACGCTAACGAGTGGACAAGTTGCTGTGCCTAGCACAAGTTCAAGCTGCTCCATCAGAACTTAATTTGAGAGTATGTACATGTGCAACATTGAAAGTGGCCACTAATAGATGGAACCGCCCATCAGAGCAGTTGGATTTTTAAAACCATAAGATTTGGCTACGCTAGTGTGATGAGAATTCGGGCATCATGATATTGACCCACAGTCCAACCAGAACCCCGGGCTTACTTAGAGAACCTGAAAGAAAAATTACGTGCTCCATTCCTTTCTATTCCTTTTCCTTTTCGGGGGTGAGGGTTGAGAGGGGAGATAGGGTAAGGATGAAAAATTTGAACCTGGGCGTGTGCAAGGCACAATAACAATTGTGAGAAATCCACTTTTGTTTTAACTGAGGTTTCCCCTGACAGTCAGTGATTGAAATACCTGGAATGCACACCGTAGCTTGGGTATCTTTAGGCTAAAAGTGGAGACAGCAGATGGTGTGGTACAAGGGGCTCAGATGGCGTTGGTAAAGAGAACGAAACAAATGCAAATTTCACAGACGAGAAAAGTAGCTTCTCCAACTCTAGTTTTCGCTGGGCTGCTCTGAGTGCTGCGTCTTTTCTTGCGCCTTGGCTTTCGTTCTCCTGAATGACATGTTCTTGTTCTGCTATGTCCTCTCCAGTAAGATCTTGAACAAGTGTGCTGGGCCCCCTGCACTTCCCTTTGGTAACTGGTGATAAGATTTCTCCTGTACTATAGATGCATAGAGATTTGTTCACTCTCCTGCTTTTATTATTATTATTATTATTTTTTTTTTTTGGTGAAGAAGATTGGCCCTGAGCTAACATCTCTTGCCAAACTTCCTCTTTTTGCTGGAGGAAGATTGTCCCTGAGTTAACATCTGTGCCCGTCTTCCTTTATTTTGTATGTGGGATGCCTCCACAGCATGGCTTGATGAGTGGTGTGTAGGTCTGCACCCGGGATCCGAACCCACGCACCCTGAGCTGCCAAAGCGGAATGCATCAACTTAACTGCTGTGCCACTGGGCTTGCCCCTGTCATTTTTTTATATCTTATGCTAAATCAAGATTTTATTTTTTTTTATTGAAGTAACATTGGTTTATAACATTATATAAATTTCAGGTGCCCATCATTATATTTCTATTTCTGTGTAGACTATATCATGTTCACCGCTCAAAGACTAGTTACCATCTAATATGATATTATTTTATAAATTGCACTGTTAAAAGTTGTGTTTGAACACATTTTTGAACAGGAACTTTAAGGGATCAAAAAGCTTAAGCTCATGTTTTTTAATAACTGAAACTGGTATCTGTAATTTTTCCTATCTAAGATCTGTAGAAACTATTATCAGCCTAGCTGCTTTTACTTTCAACTTGTAGGAAAGTTTTCCTTCTTTTTAAGTTCCCTTTTTTACATCCAGTAGGACCGGCCCTGTGATTATCATCAGTTAGAGAAAACCCATATGTCTCGGTGAGCAGTTAGATCACCACGTTGCCAAGAATTCTAGAGATTTTCTTCTCTAGTTGTTGTCACAGCCAGTGTCTTCTTCAAAGAGATGGTTTCATTTTATTAACATGTTAGGTGGCTAAGAGTTTTCTGGTCAGTTTATTGAACTTTTGAGTATCTTAGAATTTAATTAGCTCGATAAAGTGGCCGAGAAACCTACCGATGACTACCTGTACTCATACGTATGAGATAATGGCCACGTGCTGACCGGGGGCGGGGTGGGTGGGGGGGAGCCGCTCCTCTTGTCATCCTGGGCAATGTGTGTGTGTTGCTTTGTCTTTGATTCAGAGGGTGAGGGCCGCTAGTGTGGGTAAATTTCCAAACTACCCAAGAGATTGTAAGGAGAAACTCACAGCAGGCTCAGAGAAGAGTCATACTGCTGGCTGGAGAGGGAGCTAGAAAAAGATCAGATCGTTCAAGGAACTAGAATTGTTTCACGTGCGACGGGTAAAGTGGGGACAAGAGAATTGTGTCCCAACAGGAGTGGAAAACCCAAGGAGATTCCAACCCACTTCTAAGATCATTTTATTGATCAGAGAAAATATGAATTTCAACCACAGCTGAATGTAAAAAGGGGAAACTTAATTTAGAACCGATAATTGCCCTGAGTTGATTAATAACATCAATGGGCCTAAAGGTGGTACCCAAACTGCTGGGGTGGAGAAGGGCCTGAAATTGCCTGTTGCTCTCCTCGAATTCTCGAACATTTTGTCTGTAGTGCAAGCATTTAGGTAAAGATGAAAAAGTGGCCACCAGATTTTGGAAAGTCAGCTTTCACCCAAACATAAGAACACTTTAAAAATATTCACTGGGCTTAGATGTTGGTCTTGCCGCTCGGGGCGTTTTTTTCTCTCACAGTGGCACTTTTGGGATGGGGGTGGGAATGGTCGTGAAGGCACCAACCTGCTCCAAGAAATCAACTTCAGAGCCAGCGATGGCTTTCAGCCAGGCTTTTTTGGCTTGCTAATAACCAATGATAGGTTTATCATGAGAGAACTTTTCTGCAAATTCTTTTGAGTATATTTTTATTTTCTCTTGGTTCACTTGGTGTGGTGAGTAAAAACTGATTTTCCCCCTTAATCTAGATGGCGACCATTTAGAAACACAGCCTAAGAGACTTCCTAAATGAATAAATATCTCCTGCTGTTTAAATAGCCAACCTTCAAACTGATTAAGAAACTGCCCGGGCAGGTCTTCTGAGTCACCGTGTGTTTCTGCTCCTGTCGCTGACCTCTCTCCAGGCTGAAGTGAAGTCAGTGTTTTTCCTCCCACCGACTCACAGTAGGGCCTTGGGGATGAAAAAAATGAATGTGGCAGAGTCCAGCGCAGATTTTTTTAAATGCTGTGGGAAAAGTCAGGTGAAAAGCACTTCTCTTTTGTGAAATGTAGCTGCTATGTAAAAGATACACGGCACACAGTCTTGGCTCGGGGACAAAAATATCCATCTTTCTATAATTCAAAACCAAAGGTGGAACGACA